AAATTTCCATTGTAGTCTCGCTGCTATGGATTAGCTTTTGAACAGAACCAATTAGCAGGTGTTTGGTCTTCTTTGTGTTTGGTATCATCCTGTTCAATTTAAACCAACTGTTGGCCTTGTCTAGACTTTTATTAAGAGTGTTTTGAATATCTGTACAATTGGTTCCGCTCGACCAGATCGTTGTGTCATCGGCATATATGTCGACTTCAGTGTTCTTTAACAAGAGGGGTAGATCATTCATATAGATAGAAAACAAAAGTGGACCTAAGATGGAACCTTGTGGTACCCCGACTTCAAGATTTAAAGGGCTAGACAACACACCAGAGACGGATACAACTTGTGTGCGGCCTGTTAAGTAAGATCTGAACCAGTCCATTGTGTTTGTATCAGTATGATATTTAGCGAGTTTTGCAAGTAAAATGTCATGGTTTACTAAGTCGAAGGCCTTGCTTAGGTCTAAAAAGACAGTACCAACGAGTTCACTGTTGTCCATGGCTTTCAACCAGTTGTCGGTAATATTAAGCAGAGCAGTTTCACATGAGTGATATGGGCGGTAAGCGGACTGGTTACTATATAGTAGATTGTTCGAAGTTAGATACTGTAAGTAGGCGGATGCTATGTGTCTTTCTAGCGGTTTAGAGAGTATAGGTAGAACAGATATGGGACGGTAATTGCCTCTCTCTTGTATTGAGTCCAAGAACCAAGAACCAAGAACCTCTTTGAAGCGAAAATTTGAATGAAAATTGGTTTTCAGCTGCTGTAATGCATCGTGAAAGTGAAATTTTGGTAGGATCGAAAGTTTTCAAGTTTGAATTTCAGTGACGTCATGTGAAAAAGAATCTATATCTCGGTACACTATAGGAATCATATATTAAGGACCTACCCGGGAACGAGATAGAACCGCTGACCAAAAGGATCGTAGTTAACTCAACGCATGCGCATTACCTGTCAGTCGGCCATGGAGGTCGTCGGCCGCTCAACCTCGTCCCCAGGGGTCCCTTCCCGATCCCCGTCGCTGACCAAAAGCATCGCGGCCTCTGGGAACGAGATTAGGGACCTTAAAGGGACTGGTTCACGATAATGCGCATGCGCGCCGTTTGGCTCTTCAGAATAAATTTGTTGGGTCAACACTAAATTCGAAATCGCCATTACCGGTACAATCACTGAAAATCCTTCGTTTTATTCGGACATCCGTCGCTTTGGCTGGTCTAGTTATACTTCGGTAGTGGTGATTAACGTGTGGTTTTGTCGTTTGACTGGTTACGTTTTAAGAAGACGCAAAAAATAATGTTTTGATCATGGAGGTTCAGAAGAGCATCGTGGCCGTCCGGCAACAGGACGTTCTCAAGAGTCTTAGCAGAAAGAGAAGCTTAGCCTATCGATCTGGTATGGTTCTAGGAGTAGTGTGTGGCTTACGAAAAGAATACACGACACTTGGAAAGTGGTTAAAGGCATGAGTTGGTTCAACTTTGATTTGATTTTTGACTCCGACCTGTAGTTATACCGCAATAGGCCGCGTGATCTTCACCGATCTGGTACACTTGAAATGTTCCTTGTATCTTTGATTTACGATCGTATATGTTTAAGAATTGATGTTTTTAAAATAAATTATTGCCTGAATATTCTGTTTATAATATAGTTTCTTTATGTGTGCTACTCGATAACATTTGTTTTGCGGAACACTGACCCGATGTAACGCGAATGAATTTGTTCATTTGCTGATAAGCATTTGAAATTTATGCTCAGTTAAGGATAATCTTTATACTCATACGTTGTGTGTTTTTGTCACCGGTCAGGCGGTATTTGTAGGTATTTCAGGGTTTAAATAAGGCGAACTGAGAGAACAGTAATAAGATGTTTGTTGACAAATTTTGTTTGCCGATCGGTGACTGCTTTGTTAGCGTGGGTACGACCTCGTAAAAATACACGTTGGTAAATCTTTGTTTCAAAGCCCGCCGATAAGAATAAGATTTACAGCCCTGTCCTGCAACATATAACTGAGGAGTAGCAAAGAATAAACTTGAATTATGGGGATAAATCAAATCAAACCAAATGCCCGGAAATACTCTCGCGTCGCGAACAATTAATTTGAATTTTGTAAATTTACTTGCGTGCATCTAACTCGCCTCCGATTGGTTGAAAAACAATCAGCTACTGTCAGAACTCACACATGCGCATTACCGTGAACCAGTCCCTTTAAGATACCCTGGACGCGGCGGTAAAGAGAACGGAGAAGGCCTGGAGCGAGGACGCCGCCACCTTCGCGGGAAAAACAAATTAAGATTGAGCAGGTTGGGTTGAGTGCTCGCCTGACGAGAGAGGATAAAGTAATGCTTTCGTGTTTTAATTCCATAATTCGTGAAGTCTTGCTTGATTGATACCTTAACGATCTTTTATTGGAAGAAAAATTTGTGCTGCCGGCTATGACTCCAGTTTCTCTAAAAAAAAAAAAAACGAATTTCTTCGAGGGAAACTTGAGGGTATGATCGGAGTTCAGGTTATCAGCTATTTGTTGCCAGACTTTTTCGCTTTCCGTTGTTCTAGATCTTGCTTTAAAACGATATGGTTCTGTTATGAGAACTTCCCGTACTAAGGCGAGATTTTGATCTTCAGACCGCTCCATCGCTGAACTAAAAGTGAACAAATAAAATTATAAAAGTTAATAAATGAACCATGGCGTCTTGTTCGAGATCTCAATTTTCTCTGACATGTTCAAGTTTATTACAAGCCTAGATTTTTTGTTTTTCAACAATTTTTTTTCGACTTCTTGTCTCTTAAGTTTTCAAATACTATCCTAAAGCGAGAACGTTGTCCCCTTAAAAACAAGCAGTTATAGTGTTACATTTGTGTCTAAAGCCTCAGCACTTTCATTCTCAGTTGCCGCCAAAACACTGAAACCAAAAGGCTTGATAGCAAAAAAATACGAGGCAATCTTTAGAGAACACCTCACTAAAAACACTTAAATGTGTCTCTTGAAGTAAAAGGGATCGAAAATCCTGTACGAAAAGCAATTTCTGCACTGAAAACAAGAAAACCAACTCACCGTTTTACGAGGCGGCCAAACTTCTAGTTTTCACCGTCGCGACTTCAGGTCGACGCTGTAGCATTATGCTAATTTGTTCCAAGAATTGAACATTTCACTTCCGGTTGGCGTCCTCCTCGGCCGCGTCCAGAGTATCTTAAGGTGATTCCCTAGTTTTGCACTGCGCATCTCGTACTGCGCATAACAAGATGGCCGCCGTAAAAAAGAGCATGTGAAGTAATATTGTTAAAATGAAGTTGACTGAAGAGAAACACTATTGGAATTTTTGGTTGCGGTTGTTTCTTGCCGAGGTGAGACTCAATGTGTTGGGAATGTGCATAACGTAAGCAGTACGCGTGTTGCTGAGTTCGACCTCCTCTCGGAGAACCTCGATAGTGGATGTTTAACTTGTGCTTACTCACTTTGATTTTTATTTAAACACTTTCTTTATCACATTGTGTCCTAAATGTGATATCTCGATGTAAATTCTGTAAAACGGATTTTTTAATACTTTCTTCCCCCTTTCACATACATTCTATTTTGAAACTCGCCCCAGTCCTCTCTCAAAAATTGGAGAAAATGCGTTTGGTGCGCACTTTCTGCAGCTCTATCGCAAAAACGAGTTCGGTGACCCTCATTTTTTATTTCATGATTTTAATAAGGACAGTGCTTCCTTTCGATGAGAAAAAAATTGGCACAAATCTATGTTCAGTTTTTTGGCAATTTTACTAAATTGTACGGATTGAGCCATCACGGGTCGAAAAGCGCGCGTCCAATTTAATTCTACTTTGGAGCTTAAAGTAAAAACAAGGGCATTAAAAGGCATTTTTCTGGTACGTAAGTGCATAAACAATACATTAAAGTCAAATTCTGTGTGATGTCACATGCATCATCGAAAAAATTTCTCTTTTTTGTCTAGTTTTGCGCTGCCCGCGGTTTTTGTAAAAGGGTCCTAAATAGCCGTATTTGTCAGCATTGTGACGTCAAAACGAGCACGGTGACACCCATTTTTTATTACTTTTTTATCATCTTCTTGACTTGTTACATCAGTGTACCAGGTTTTAGCTAAAATCTATGTTAGGTTCTTTTACTCGGCCATTCTCGTCCCCAGAGCCCGTCGTTTCTTGGTCACGTGGTCGGGAAACGAGGGGTCGGTTACAAATTAAGCCGAGTGGCTCTGGGGACGAGAATGCCGCGGCCGTCTTACATGTGTTGCTTGGAACGAGGCCTGCTACTTCTTGACGTCGTTGAGAAGGGCGGAAAAGTTCATTAGAAATGTGTGCAGCATTCAGTGGTCATAAGTTTACTGCAAGTGATATCTTAGGCGACGAAGGAAGAAAGGCTTTGGATGCTGTTGTGAAAGTTGAGTTGGCTGATACGACGTTTGTGGTTCCGACGTTTACAGAACAAATTCTGATAGAAGATCGTTATTCAATTTTTGATATTTACGAAGCAGTCTCTTATTTTGATGAAGCGATTTGTCTCAGAAAATGTCCGATTGAATGTGTATTTAACAAGAAAACGAAAGAAATCCGTAACCTGAGAGATGATATTGAAAGAGAGTACGAGGAAGCCAAGTCTATGGCCAAAAAGCCTAAAGAATATAGGCTTGTTGAAGCAGAACAGCGAGTTAAAGGTTGCTATGCTGGTCATTTTCCCAAGGAAACAGAGATATTTGCCTTAAAAGTGGACGAATATGGGGAGGAGCAAACCAAAACCTACAACATCTTTGATATTCGCCAAGCAGTGCAGCTGTTTGACAAAAAAAAGCTCATTCAGAAGTATCCAGAAGATAAAGATCCTGAATATGATGAATTGACAAACCTTATCGAAGAGTATAATTTTAAAGTGAATGAAGAGTACACTGAGGCCAAATGCAGATTACCAAGGTATAGTCACAGTGAAGCAGAAAGGAAAGTCAGGGAATGCTTTCAGGATCTCTTGAAATGGCAAGCAACAATATTTCCCATTGAAGAAAATGAAAGTGGAGCTGCCAGTATCAATGAAAGTCACGATATTCTTGATATTCTCAAAAAGGGTAACTCACTTTGAGGAGTGTGAATTCGAAAACTCCAGTATAGTCCCCTATATGATAGATAAGCTGGCAATGGAGTACCTGCGTGCAGTACATAGTCAGCGCATTTATTCCCGAGATGAAGCTGAGCACAGGGTAAAAGATTGTTTTGCTGGCACCTTTCCTGATCATGTAGACCTGTTTCTCACAGGCAGGGACAATTATGGTATACCAAAGAGCCACCAAACTTCTAAGAGTGTTGAATGTAAAGAGGCATGTTTTCTTTCTGATGAGCAGCAGGATTACTGGAATCTCTTTAAAAAGGTGGTGGAACAAAGAGGGAATGGGTCTGGGTTCATCTTTAAAGATCACTTTGTAATTACCAGCAGTAAATTTGGTGATGAACGTGTATTGTTCTGTGAACAAAGAAAAATTCACATTTCCAATGCAGTCATCGGCAAGCTTTCTTGTGAAGTTGCTTTTGTTGATGTTGGAAAAGATTTAGCTTTGCTTTATTGCCAGGACCTTAAACTAAATCAAAGTGGTATTAAACCACTGCAGCTGTCTGATTTCCCCTTGTTAACAGACAGGAAGCAAACTGTCAGTTTTGGTTATCCTAGACCATATCCATCTGAAAAAGCTTTTGTTGTAAATGCTCCAGTCTGCGGTTCCATAGAAACACCCCTGGGCTATACCTTAATGACATTGCAATTACCTCTGGACCTAGGTTTTTGTGGTAGTCCGATACTCTATAAGGTGAATGGAAAATGGAGTGTTGTAGGTGTTGTTAGAATAAAGGAGCCTTTTGGAGAGTATATTTCATTTGATGAGCGACAAATTATTGAGAAATTGTGTGCTAGTAGTAATCCCTGTAAATATGATCACAACCAAACATCATCAATAGATGCTTTGGCATTCAGATTAATTAATGTCCTTGCAGCTTGCCAGACCTGCAACTTGTATGTGTTACCTGGGAAGTATGTAATTGATTTTATCAGCAAAGGCATTGACATTTTCCTTGGAAGGGGTAAAGAGGCTATTCCTGAAGCTATGTGATCATGGGTGTTTATTGTAATGTGGTTTAATAGAGGTAGAGATTGGAAGGAGGTTGGTTTGGTGACTACATGTAACTGTAATAAAAAGGTATACTTAAAGAGAGGTTTAACTGTATTGCAAAACGTTTGACAATTATCAAGTCAATTATTATTTGTCTTTATAGAGGTTGCAATTTCTTTAGTAAGAGATGCTTGCCTTAAAAAGTGAAAAGTTTCTGTTAGCTTTTCTTGCCAATATTACTGCTGTTCATTAGTTAGGATGATCAATGTTTATGTTAAAGATGTGTTGTAAGATTCAGATATTTAATGATACTTTGGGAAACATTTGTATTTTCATTTTTGGTAAAAATGTTTGCATCAATTAGATTATTGGTAAAAGGTTTTGAATATTTGTACTAATGACTTGGGGCCTGTTTCTCGAAAGTCCCAATAATTAATGGGCCGGTAAAGCTGTTGGTGTTTACATGCAAGATAGAAGATGCAATAGTTTTGCATATAACATGATAAAACTATCAGTTAATGAAAAAAAAATGGAGTATTTTGCTAGCCAGGACCTGTGCTCTTATTCTTTTTAGTTCAATTTGAATATTTGATTTCAGGCCCGAAAAGTTATCAGGACTTTGGAGAAAAGAGCCCCAGAGCTTGAAAAAAAACTTGAATTCCAGCTTGTCCTTTGGGCAAGCAGTTCTCATATTTTGCTTGCCCAGGACCTCTTCTTGCTCTTTTTAGTTAATGAGTTTGTTAGAAGATGACTTTCTTAGACCCTTGCTTATTGGGCAAGTGAATTTAAAAGTTACTTACCCCGGAAGAAAATCTTGCTCCGGACAACTGGACGGGGCTTTTTTTGAGCCATGATGATATTTATCCTCCTTGTATTTCTTGTAGTATTTTTCTGGTGAGGGCTGTCACATGATCTTGTTTACAATAAAGATTTTTTTACAAGCTAAAGTAATCCAGTGATTTCAGGTTACCTTGTTTTTTTTGTTGTGAAATCATGGACAACGTTTGGCCACTCAAGTTGAAAAACACTGCTGAAAACGACGAAGACATACACCTAATTGCAATAACGTTGTCACAGAAAAAAAAAACAAAAAGCAAAAAAGCCAAATGGGAATAAATTAGCCATGTAAATTACATTTGCGTATTTTAATTCGGTATTTAACAATTATTTAAGAATTCATTCAAGAGATAATTCTGTAATTCCGCGCTGTAAGATAGACAGGCGCCATAGTCATTTTAAAGCCAACATTCTCCATCAAAAGAAGTCGCACAGTTAGAGAAAGAAAAAGGTAAATTGACGCGAGCAATGTTATGTCTCAGTTGTCGCACGTTCAGTCACCAATCTATTATGTCCTAACAAACGAAGCTTGGTTTGTGGCTCAGGTGAGGAACTGGCGGAGGACCCCCTTACCCTCTCTGCGATGAAAAGTGCTGCATACGCCCCTTGTTGCTTGAAAATTGTGATCAGATGGTGTTGTGCACTGCAAACCATACGCAGACTGGCTTTTCTATTTAGCGCTAATCTAAAACACACGTTGAGTTCCTGGAATTTACCCCAGGCTATATTTATTGGAAAAAAATGGAGTCTGGTAGTTATCCGATGTGCTTTGTAATTCGAGCACGTTTGAAATATTCAGCCTTGAATTGCATGAGAATGACACTAAGAAACTGATGCAAATGATTTCTCTCATATTACGTGATTAATATTCAGCTGTAAGCGTGTGTGTTGTGAATGTTGCAAGCTATGATAATTACATGCTAATTAATTCCTATTTAACTTTGTGCTTTTTGCTTTTTTCTATGACAACCTCATTGCAATTAGGTGTAACGATAACGATGATAACGAAGATCCCGTTATAACGAAAAAAATCTGAAAGCCCGGCAGAATTACAGTAAAACATGTGCAAACAAACCCCACTATAATGAATAGATTTTGATGGTCCCAACGCACAATTTATCCCACTGTAACTAATATTTTGTCTGTTCACTCGCAGCAGTCAGTAAAAACGACAGATTTGAGTAGAAATCACAGCTTGCCTTAATTAAAAGTGTTTTTGAATTTGATGTCTTGATTGTCAGCGCTTTACACTTACAGTTTACAGTATCAAATAAATAAAAATAATGTTTTCTACGTGCAGTATTGAATTTTTGGTAATTTTTATTTATTAAATTACTTCGCTATAACAAATGTTTTTGCTGTTAACCAGATAACAATCCTTTTTGGTACTGTGCCACTTCGTTGTAGCGGGGTTCCACTGTAGTTCATGAAGTGCAATGGCTATATTATTAAGCCCTGGTCCGACTGCTCTTTGTATATTTTTGTCAGCTTTTCCTTACTCTGTTATGTACATTGGTCAATAAAATAATCAATTGACCATTTTTGAACATCCCATTCACCTATAAAAAAAACAATTTGTAACAAAAAATAAGAGACTCCATACACGGTTAGTGAGGCACCTCCCAACATGAACTGCAGCACCATTGATTTTATCTTTGTTTTTTGCCTCCTCTACTAACTATGTTTGACTGCATAATTAAGCTGCATCCTCTGTTGTTACAAATTATGTGGTGAATTAAACAAATAGAGTCTTTGTCCAACATGTCACCAACACCTACTGCTGCCATATTGAATTACATGCATTAGATTGTGAGCAGGGGATTTACATTCTCTTGACAAGAAGGAAAACATGGCCATCCAAGTGCCAGTGACTTTTAAAGCTATTTCTCCATACTGGAAGACTGCTCAAGAATATATGCCAAACAAAGTCTGAGCCTGAGAATCGGAGAATGCAGATGTGTGAAACCGTGCTCCTGATACTTTCTTTAAAATTTTCATCAAACAAACGAATTCTTAGGACTAACAATCTGGGATTTGTTGCCTTAATTAATTAACCGGCTCTTTTCCTATTGTAAAATCTAAAAAATTATCTCATTGATAGTTAGCCTATTAATAATATGTAAGTTCCCAGCTTCGTTAGGCTTCCTTGTCGCATAGTCAGTTATATAAGCATTTTTGGCCAATTATAGGAGTTTGATAGGATCCTACAAAATATGTATATAAAAAAGGATGTATAGGAAGGCTGGGATGTATGGGATTTTGCTGTCAAGAAGCCACCCATTCAGTCCAAGATGGTGTCCAACTGTGAAATCATGTGGCATCCCAGCCCCAGTTGTCCCCAGGATTAAAGGGGCTGTGTCACGGCAGTCCAGTTCATTTTGCTTAATTTTGCTAATTACTCGCCCTCAGTCGCTATGGAGCTTTAAAAAGTAAGAAAAGAAATTGCATTTTAATGACAAAATCAGAGATCCGAGGCAAACAAATATGTCTCCTGAGCATTATTTTTGAAGTTGCAAGCAGAAGGCGTCAACTTTGAAAAACTGTTAGGCTGAACAGTTTTCAAAAACCCCAATTTCAATCCGCTTCAATCTTCTTCGGTTTTGCCCATCCGTGGCATCTGTTGTTTCTGCTATGTTATTTTAACCTTCCTTTAAAGTTTTAAGCGGTTATTTTTATGTTTCTCTTAATTTAACAGGCATTTTGTAATTTCTTAATTTGGCTGAATTTCGTGACACAGCTCCTTTAATAATGCTATCCACCAGATAAAACTCTTATACAAATTATGGTGGATAATGCCATCCAACTTTTGAACAACTGGGGCCAGAACGATGCCCGTGGGTCATAATTTGCAGTTTCCGTGAGAAAAAAAGACCTGAATAAAAAGCAGCCTACTTTGTCAAACACAATAATAAAATATTATTGTTAAGACTCCATTATCTTAGATGGTCTTTAACTAAGGGTAAATGTGACTTTCAATCTTTCCCAGCCAGTATCAGAAGAATGGCTGAAAATTTTTACCTTTTCTTCCTATAATTTTAAATATGTTGCAATCTAGAGGTCCCAGGTTGAATCCCTGCTCCAACTTTTCTCTGGGTTCATTATCCTTCTCTAGATCTGTAGTCCCTAGTTCAACTTCTCGGCCAGGTTGGTACAAACAGCTTGCCTCTTAAGGACCGGTCATTATTTATGTGGGGGGATTTTTTTTAAGCCTATTAGTTAATTCTTGACCCTCCCCCATATAACTTTATATAAGAGGTGACCCACCCCCAACCCCCTTCAATCTATACCTCTATAAGGAGTTCCTGTTCACTGAACGAAATCAGCTTATCTTGTGGACCAGTGTCCCACTCTGCGGCCACTTCTTGTTGATGTGCCTTCTTGTATTGCTACAGTATGACTGTCATCATCTGATTCACTTTCGCTTTCACTTTCATCACACAAAAAAAGGTCATTGTCACTGTCACTCTCATCACTGTCCTCACCAACACTGACGCTTGAAGGAAATGTAGATTCCATTAAAGTTTCATAATAGTGTACTGTGATTCGCTTGATTTTGTCGATTTTCTTTCCGTTCTTGCTAAGTTTATTATGCTCAATGTATTTGTCCAACTCGATATGGGATTTCTATTAACTATGGATATGAAGTGCTGCAAGTAGAGTGAGTCAGTATGCACCTCTAGGAACGCGCTCTGTGATTGGCTGATACTAAAATGTGGTAATTATTTACATTAGTTACCTAGTTATTCACATCAACAAGGTAACCAGAAAGTAATTTAGGTTTGGGGTGGTTTAGGCGTTAGTTGGAATTGTGAGGGTTGCTGGAACTGTGGATTTGTGAGGATTGTGAGGGTTGTAGGAGTTGTATGGGGTTGTGAGGGTTGTGGGGGTTGTAGGGGGTTGTGAGGGTTGTAGGGCTGGTGAGGGTTGAGGGAGTTGTGAGGGGTTGTGAGGGTTGTAGGGCTGGTGAGGGTTGAGGGAGTTGTGAGGGGTTGTGAGGGTTGAGGGAGTTGTGAGGGGTTGTGAGGGTTGTAGGGCTGGTGAGGGTTGAGGGAGTTGTGAGGGGTTGTGAGGGTTGTAGGGCTGGTGAGGGTTGAGGGAGTTGTGAGGGGTTGTGAGGGTTGTAGGGCTGGTGAGGGTTGACGGAGTTGTGAGGGGTTGTGAGG